GCTGAGGGCCTGAGTCCACAAGTTTTATTTCGCTTTTCTGTTATTTTATCTATACTTCTGCTAACTGTCTTGCTCATTTGGAGATTATGATGGAATTTTCTGGTGAGGCATGACTTTATTACTCAAACTTCCAAATATCTCAGTGTTTTCATTAAATAACAATTTAATTTTCACTGTTTTAAAGTTTTCTTTGCTTTTGAGACAAGGGCTCTTGATATGTAGCCCAGGATAGCCTGGAATTCTCTGTGTATTCCCAGCTGGCTTCAGACTCAAGCAGCCCTCCTTTCTTGGCTTTGAATACTCAGCTTACAGGCATGAGCAAACTATATCGGTTTTATCTCCATTTAATTTTTAATATATGATACACAGCTCTTCTGAGCTAGATTATAAAATGCAAAGGATTAATTAGAGTAGTTCATGTCTTCAGTGAGTATATACTCTTAATGGATACATTGATTCTTATTGAGAAATTGAGCAATCTTTTTACTATTTTTAATTATTATTGCTATTGTTCTATGTTTATTTATTTATGTATTCATTGGTTATGCATGTTCAACGAGGCGCATGTGCCACAGTCAATTCTTTCTTTCCACCATGTCGCTTCCCGGATTGAACTCTGGTTTTCAGACTCAGTGGTTAGCACCTATACCCACTGAGCAATCTCTTCCACTGTGTTGTGCTTCCCAAGAAACAGTCTCCAGCTCAGGCTGGCCTAGAACTTACTATGTGGCCTAGGTTAGTATCCAAATTATGGCGTTCCTCCTCCTTCAGACCACCTGGTGCTGGGATTCCAGGCCTAAGCCACCACAGAAGCCAAGGAAGTCCTTTAAAAGGTTAGGTGAGACTAAGGAATTGGCTGTGAATGTTTAGATTGAATTTCCATGAGTCTGGAGAGCATCTCTGGGGCAGTGAATGGACAAGGGAATCTAAATGCGTGAGGCAAATGTGTGCTGGTGCACACCGAGCCTACAGACCAGTGGCTGGGATTCTAATAGAATTTTATAACAAATAAGTAAAATTCAAAACCAACACTGTTAAACTATTGATCATTAAATATTGACTACATCAGCTAGACAGCAAATAACTAGAGTTGAATTGGGTTCTCTTTTTAAAAATTACATTTTATTTACTTACTTTGTCTTTGTGTGTGTGTGTGTGTGTGTGTGTCTGTCTGTCTGTCTGTCTGTCTGAATGTGTGGCATGTGCTTGTGGAGGCCGGAGGACAACTTGTGTTTCTATCTCTGCATCATGTGATTTCTGGGAATTTAACTCCAGTTGTCAGGCTTGGCGGTGGCGCCTTTCCCTGCTGAACCATCCCACTGGCTCTGAATTGAGTTCTTAATTAAGGTTACTACTGGAAGAATGGGATAATGAGAAATCCCAAAATATAAATACAGATAACATGAAGAAAATTAAGGCTGTAGTAAATTCAAGATGATGCTCATTTTCAAAGTTGAAAGTCAAAGAGAATGACAGTCCCCATCCGAAGTAATCAGTTTGGAGATAGAAGTCAAACCAGATGTTCTGGTGTTATGGACATTATGGACATCTCCTGTGATTCCCCATGACAATGCACCCAACTATCTATACAGATAATCGGTTCCCCAGGGGAGCAGAATTCTGGGGAATGGGAGCCACTGTATAGTAAATCAGAAAGATTGTGGAAGGAGATTGGTGGCATATGAGAGACAGAATGTAACTCTCAGGGTGGGTGTATCAAGAAGAATTGCTTTTTTAATTAAATTCTAGCCTGTTGTAGTGATCAATTCACATGTATCCACACAGCAAGACTGCACTGTACATTTAGAATAAACACATTTTGTACTGCCAAACACTGGTCAATAAAGCCAATGGAGCAGTTCCTGTGTCTAGAAGCCAGAGGGACTGGTTCCCTAGAGGTGGGGAAGGGGAAGGCGAGAGTCAGAAAATCCACCTCAGAGCACGAGCCTCTGGGGAGAGGCACAGAGCTGGTCCTGAGGTGCTGAGGATAAGAGAATGCAGTCAGGGATGCAGAATGAGACATCGACGGACAGGTGGAGGCAGCTTACATCCAGCTCACCTTCATTCACATAAGTTCTCTTGATTGCTGTGAAAACATTCCTGGAATGAGCATCCTCGGGAAGGGTTTGCTCCTCATAGTGGAATCAGCGTGGCAACAAAGAGAGATGGATGCTGGGATTGCTTGCTTTCCCTCTCTTATTCAGCCAGTGGCCTAAATCCATGAACTAGCGTTGCCCACATTCAGGGTGAGTCTTCCCTGCTTACACAAACCTTTCTGGAAACACCTTCATCAATACGTACAGAAGTGTGTTTACATGCTGACTATAAACCCATCCAAACTGACAACGATGATTACCCATTGCCTCTTCTAAGTGAGTGCATTTCACAGACTCAGAGTGATGGATGTAAAAGCCCACCAGTGGTCCAGAGCTCCAGATGGTGGGGTACCAGCGAACTCTGTAGATTATTCGAGCCAAAGTACAGGACAGTTCAGTTAGGTCCTCTGTGTGTTGTTTCTATGTCATTAGGAAGGCATGTGTGATTTTAGGGAGGGCAAAGATATGGGCAGGCAAGACAAGACGTGGTAGCACTGCCGAGGTGAGCCAGAGTCCCGAGGTGGGAATTTGTGCGAGAGAGGATGGCAGCCCTCTAGAGAATGATTGGCTGTGCTTCCTTAGATTGCTTTATGGCAGTGATTCTTCGCCTGTGAGAACTGAATATCAGATATCTTGCATATCAGATATTAACACTATGACTCATAACTGTAGCAAAATTACAGCTATAAAGTAGTAAGAAAAATAATTCTACGGCTGGGGATCACTACAACATGAGGAACTGTGTTAAAGAGTCACAGCATTAGGAAGGCTGAGAACCACTGCTCTAAGGTAAGTGACTACCTGGAAACACTCTCTTCACTTCTCCCTTGGCTGGTGCCTTGGGGAAGCGGTTCACGCGGCTTCTGGGTCAAGGACATGTGGAGTCGGAGAGGTCGTCCTTCTGGGCTTTAGCAGCGTTCCTTCTGTTCTTGGTAGATAAAGAACCATGATTGTCACAGTGCTTTGAAATTGTGTTCACCGTGAATGTCGCATGTGTGCAAGCCTGATTTGCCTCTACCAGCTGTGGCTTCACCCTGTTCACAGATGCTGCTGCTCCACCCACAGAGAACCTGAGAAGGACATCTGAGCTCCTAAGAAGTCCCAAACTACTTCATCACACTTCTCTGCTTACTTTCCTTTCTACCCCTCCCCTCTCCTCCTCTTCCTTCCCTCCTGCCCCTTGCTTTTCGTGTTTACTAACCCCGCATCCTCAGTGTCTTATCTGGGCTCCCAGCTGCTAGCCTCTTACTTCCTAATTGTATCTCCTCGACCTTTGGCAGCCAGGCAGTGTGGTGCACACTGTAAGCAGTCACTGGGGCAGGAAGGGTTCCCCACCACACGGTGACACGAAGATCAATGTGTTGGAGATATGGAAGATATTTTACAATATGCCACATTTCCAGCCACAGTCAGAACCACGCCCATCTTCCACGTTCCAAGAACAGCTAGCCTTCCTAATTTTGCAGCACTTTGTGGGCTCCTGCCTAGGACCTTGTAGCTTCCTTTATGCTCCTTGTCTCTTCTTGTTTCCCTAGCAACATCTCTTGAAGAGTTATGCATTCTCTAGCTTTCTCTGACATCACTCTCTCCTCCAAATATTACTGATTTGTTTTTGCCTTCTGCATTCTAAGGTACTTTGTAGATCTATCGAGTGTGGCTTTTGGAATATTTGTTTTGTTTGTTACACTGCTGCTTCCTTAACCAGACTTGAATTTCTTGACTTAAAACACAGCATTTTGATATGAGGGTTTGTGCCTTGTCTTACTGTAACATGTCATGCCGTGTTCATCTCATGTCGCTGAGAGGTCTGCCCCTTTCGAAAGGACAACAGAGGAATGGATCTGGGAGAGAGGGAAGGTTGGGAGAGGAGCTGGGAGAAGTGGAAGGAGGGAAAACTGTAGTCAGGATGTAGTATATGAGAGAAGAGTAAATAAATTTTTTTAAAAAAGAGGCATTCACCTGAGACAATGGCTTGGTGAAGTAAGGAGTGCAAATATGAGGACCCAAGTTTAAATTTCCAGAACCCACATACAACTGGGAACACTAGCAGGCATCCATAATCCCAGAGCTCCATCGTGAGATGAGGAACAGAGACAAGAGGATTCCTAGAAGCTTTGGGCGTTGCTGGCTTGGCTTACACAATGGGAAACAACAAAACCGAGAAAAGCTATCTCAAAATCAAGGTGGAAGGTGAGGACCAACACCTGAGGTTGCCCTCTGACCCCCACAATGTACAGTATGCCCATAGACACATGCTCATGCAAGGTTAATAAAAGGTTAAATGAGGTCACAAACATGCTATTAATTGTCTTTCTCTCATGTCTGGCATATAGGAGGTCTTCTATACATTTTAGTTGCAATCATTTGAATCAGAGATTCTCCCTACAGGTGGTTCTGGATGAGCAGAGACAAGCAGAATTCAGAATTCACCAGAGAGGGATGTGGGCAGCTCTCTGCATGGAGCTACAACAGTAACAGGCCTCAGTTTTCCTGTGTACCTACAGTTAGAGCATTGGCCAACTAAAGACTTATTGAACATGGGATTTTGATGGGAAAAGTTGTCTTACAAGTGATTCTTTTTAATCTTCTGGTGAGGAAACCAGTTTTGTTTTTGCCACTAACACCACCCTAATCAGCAGTCTTGACAAAGCCACAAATCTTAAGTCACTTTCCATTCCAGGCGATAACAAAATACACAGTTGATGTTGGCCTAGGAGAACTTCATTAAGGAATGTTGATGGGTTCTTGGTAGGAGTATTTGATGAGCTGGGGTATCTGATGAAGTTTCAGGCGAAGTGTTGTGTGTGTGTTCTGTTTGATAACTTCAACCATCAGAGGACAGGGTGACTGGGCTTTGATGTGTCTGTGTTTCTTAGGTCTGATTGAGTCTTTTATTTTCCATAGGTTTCAAAACCTGCTCTGGTCCAGAAAGACATTTGTGGACAACATGAAGATCTATAACCATAGCTATATCTACATGCCTGCTTTTTCTATGAAGACAGGAACAGAGCCGTCTCTCCGTGTATATTACACACTGAAAGATGTTGGTGCCAATCAAACAGTGCTTTTTGCTAACCCTAACTTTCTGCGGAGCATTGGAAAGTTCTGGAAGAGCAGGGGAATCCATGCCAAGCGCCTGTCTACAGGACTGTTTCTGGTCAGCGCAGCCTTAGGCCTCTGTGAAGAGGTGGCCATCTACGGCTTCTGGCCCTTCTCCGCAAATATGCACGAGGAGCCCATTAGTCACCACTACTACGACAATGTCTTGCCCTACTCGGGCTTCCACGCCATGCCTGAGGAATTTCTCCAACTCTGGTACCTTCACAAAATTGGTGCGCTGAGGATGCAGCTAGACCCATGTGAGGAGCCATCACTTGAGCCCACTTCCTAGGGACCAGAAGAAGAAAGAACTGGGCTGGGGAATATTTTTGCTAGGTTTTCTATATGACTTCCAAAAGGAGTGGCCAAAGTGTGTCATGGATTGGCATGACAGGAACCAAACAAAAACCCAAGCAAAACTTGGCCTTTGACGTTAGCTTGGCCAACACTAAGAAGTAAATGTTCTGGGGGAAGATTTTATAGTGTGTCCTGGATTTACAACTGGGATCCCAAGGAGGTGATTCCGGCAGATGACGTGTCTGTGGTTCAGATCTAGAAGACGAGATTCAAGGAGCAGATGAAGTCTGATTGCTAAGGCCGAGGGGCTCATCATGGCAGCATGTGGGAGATGCCGGGGATACTGCTGACAGTCAATATGCCGTGGCATCGCAGTCATTTTAAAAGACCTGTCTTATTGAGACTGGCGTTAGAACTGTAGGTTTTTTAAAAATTATTATTTATTTTTGTCCTGTTTAGGGCTGTGGGTGGGTGATGGGGTAGACTTACAAAATCTTTCCTGCTGATTTTTGTGATTCGTTAAAACAAGTCTATGTTGGCTAAAGTCCCCTCCGCTAGTACAGTTTTAAGTAAGAATTGCTTCTTGCCTCTTTGGTTAGGTCTATTTAGTATGAAGCTGTGTTGACTTTAGACTGGTTACAGCCACCAGGCCATGACTCAGCTCTGACAGATACATGAGAATAATCTTTTATTACTTTGATTTATAATCTAGATAACAGGAGATGCTTCCTCGTCCCAGATGCTGAGAGAGAAGCTCAACTTTAGGTCCCTGTTACATCAACCCATAGACTCCGATGCTGGTATTTTCCCCAAATCACTCTGCACACAATTGCTTTATTCACTTGTAAAGGGGCAAAAGTGTCTTCATTTAACGAGAGGTGAAGTAAGAACTTAGTCTCTGAGGCCGACAGACCAGGAGGCAGGGCCCTTTTCTCTTTAACGTGAATATTTTCCTTTAAGGTAACTCATGCGTACTTACACATGAATATTCCCTTTCAAGATGATGTGTGTGCGTGTACACATGAGTATAAACACATGTGCTCGGACACACTATACAAAGTAATCAAAGACTATTCTCATGTCACTGTTGAAACCGAGCATGCGTGGCCTGGAGTGTATAACCAGCGTGGAAGCGCTGCAGAGACGTCGTGTGGAATCCATTTCATGTTGACATAAGTTGAGCTGGCATAGCAGTTACTGTCTGTTTGCATGCCAGCACAGGGTGCAAGGTTTACCCTCAAAAACATAATCCAGGATGAGAACTGCTGTCTTATTCATTCTGCCTCCCCCACCTCCCAAATCTCATGAATGCACCTTGTGCTGAGCATAGTGACCAGGGACCTGGTTCATGCAAATGAGCAGGTAGGAACCACTAGCTCTGTATTTTCTGTGTCAGGTGCGGCTGCTTGTGCAGCTTGGTACAGCTGCTTTGACACAAGGGAACTCCACAGCCAAATGCGTCTACTGTAAGTAAGGGACACGCAGAGACATCTTATGTGGTTGTTAGGCTCCAAGGAGCTGTGAAAACTCACGTTTATTCTTTCAAGTGTTGTCATGTTTAGGTAAAACTGACCCACAAGCTCTACTTCACCTTGAAGGTATGAACTTAGTATATTGACCACGTCTGTGAAAAGAGGCTTTACAATGAACGCTAATTTACAAGTTATCAAAGTTATGGAAGAGTTGCACGTTGCCAAATGTGATCAAATATCCAGGTTACTCTAGAAATTAGCATCATGAACAGAGACGGGTTGTGCTGATGTTTAGAGAATGAAAGGTTTGGGAAGTTCACCACCGTGCAGGCTGGCCTGGTGTTTCCATCTTGTGTGGTAGCATCAGCCTGTCAGGAAGGCAGTGTTAAATGTGTTAGTCCTGACTGTACAACACTTAATATAATCCCTGTTTTGAGGGACTAGTATTTAATAATTACCTAAGAAAAAATGAATTTCTACCAATAGACTTTATTAAAAGTATAAAAGGCCTAGAAAAACAACACATACAAAGATTAATTAAATGTGCATTCAGGTGAATGCATTTCAGAATTAGTCAGAATCTAAGCAAGAAGCTCATAAAATCCACACATCCCAGTTCATGGAGAAGGCTATTTGGGAGTTTGAACGCTCGCTGCAGGTCCTGGAGCAGGTCCACGTAGGAGTCGTGGGTTTCGTCTACAAGCTGTAAAGCTAGTCTACCTGGCATCTGAACTGCAGAGCAGAAATGGTCAACACCGTCAGGTAGAGCTGTGCTTTCACCCACGATGACTGCCCTTCCCTCCCAGGGGCCATAAGCAACACCTGGGGACATTTTCTTGTTATGACCAGGAATGCTAGCTGCTTGCAGTGGGAATAGCCGTGGACGGTGGTCCAGCAGCAATGGGTCAGCCACTTGCCGTAGAGAATGGCCCAGAGACGGTAGTGGTGTGGGAATTGAGAAACCCCAGGTTAGGCCAAAAGAAAAGCTTGTTTGTGCCATTTGCCCTTTAGGACACAGGTGTAATGTTCATGGCATGAACAGCATTGCTGCAACCTTCTATTATTTTATAGTGACAATTCATAGGTGCATATGTCATAATACGTAACTTTATGTGTGTTTGATTAGATGATGTAGCTAAGCAAGAGGTAGGTGTGGCTGAATGGGTGTCTCTCTGAGTATGTATATATAACTATGTGTGTGTGTTTAACATTATTTTTAATAATTCTGGAGAAACCTCCCCAGAATCACCCCTAGAATCTTCTGGAGTACTCTATTACCTTTAAGAGGTTGGGGACTATTAAATTCTACTTCTTGAAATTAAGGCCTTCAGCTCTGGGCCTGTTCCATTATTTAACATATTTGACCTTTAACTTTCAGACAGAAGGGATTTGGGTTATGAAGGGCATAGTCAATAGAAAACACTGAATTGACTTCAGTGCATCTGGCAAGAGATGACACCCCTCTCTACCAACAATTAGGCCAATGCTTTAAATGTGTATATGTATGCATGCATGGCAATTCATATATGAGAGAGAGAAGGAAAGAGAGACACAGAGAGAGACAGAGACAAAAGTAAGATTGCTGATTCACGGGGAAAAGGATGCAGAGACTACACATGAGCACCCAGGCAGGAATTCTCAGTTTACTCAACTGCAACTGGAGAACTGCTTTGGTTCTCAAGTCCCTGAGCAAGAATGGCTGCGATTTGATTTCAATCACACTTCAGTAAGAATTATGTCAGGTGAAGAGTAAGTCATCCCACCAGAAATAAAGCTTGTACCTGAAAGCCCTTGTCACGGAAGATGACCCCTGGACCTGTGTGCTCACCACTATTAAATGCTCTACAAAAGTATATCAAAATTGTGTGCCTAAACTAGATTGCTCACTTTTATGACTTTGCCAAAGGGAGGGAGCAGATGGAGGGCCTTCTCAGCCCGTAAGAGTTCTGACTGCCCCTGCAGAGGACCTGAGTTCAGTTTCCGACACACATGTCCTTGAGCACAGCTGCCTGTCAGTCCAGGTCCAGGTGAGCTGGCGTCCTCATCTGCACTCCATGGATGCTGCATGCAAGTGGGACTATATACCTACAAATAATTAGGAAATACATCTTTTTTAAAAAAAATATTTATTTATTTATTTATTATGTATACAATATTCTGTCTGTGTGTATGCCTGCAGGCCAGAAGAGGGCACCAGACCCCATTACAGATGGTTGTGAGTCACCATGTGGTTGCTGGGAATTGAACTCAGGACCTCTAGGAAGAGAGGCAATGCTCTTAAGCTCTGAGCCATCTCTCCAGCCCCAGTAATACTACTTTTAAAAATGATCCTGGTGAGTTTTGTTTTCTGCTTTCTNATTCTGTCTGTGTGTATGCCTGCAGGCCAGAAGAGGGCACCAGACCCCATTACAGATGGTTGTGAGCCACCATGTGGTTGCCGGGAATTGAACTCAGGACCTTTGGAAGAGCAAGCAATGCTCTTAAGCTCTAAGCCATCTCTCCAGCCCCTAGGAAATACATCTTAATAAAGGCAGAGAATTAATTCTCAAAAGGAAGATGTTCAGGTAGTGCCAATCTACAGTTTAAATTTCCGTATCAACTTTGTTGAATTTTTGCTGGCAGACCCTCGTCAGGAGAGATCTAATGAGAAAAACAGTCACCAGTGCACTGAGGGCCTTCACCTTATGAGCTCTAGTATCTGAGCTTGCACTTGCTAATCTGGGTGCCCCGTGGCAGAGTCTGATCACCTTGACTTAGTTGCGTACGATCATGAGGAGTAGACTTCTCTGTACACACGGATGAACTTTCTGAGTTCCTAAAGCTAGGGAGAGATCAGATATCCTAGAGTTTTCTTTGAAACCACAAACTTCTGAAGTCCAGAGGGTGTATAACTAAGTGTGAGGCCACAGGGTTTATTCTCAGCCCAATATAGTTCCTGTTTGATAAGTGGGGGGGGGTCTCAAATTTGTAGACATCCCTCATACACCCAGGCACACACACACACACACACACACACACATGTGCATGCACACAAACACAAGAATATGAATAGTGTTTGCCTTACTCTTGGCCTTACTGTGCCATTTGACATTTGACATTTTCACGTACCTCCCAGAGATGAATGATTGACGCGTGCACATGAATGGAACCGTTCTTCATACTTTCTAACCTTTCTCGTTGCAACAAGGAAGGAATGCACTTCTGCTTCCTTGTTTGGGTTTTCTCTCTGTTGCTGACATTTGTAGTTTCTTCTTCCTTTAACGCAGAGGAACAGGCATATTGAAGTGAGTTATAATATTGTATGCACTTGAGTAACAGCCAAAGCCCTTGACTCTCACTTGTTAAGCCACAAAAGAGGAATTACATTTTATGGTTGCTCATCTGACCACGACTTTCAGTCTCACTGATGTGTTCAAAACATTCCTGGTTTTGCTTTTCAGTTGAAAATGTTAAGATTCAACCAGCAAGGCAGAGTTGTCCAAGAGTAATGGTGTAATAGCCAAATATAGTTCGTGCTTCTTCTAGCTTCTGTGTAACTAGATT